GTCCTCGGCTGCATCTTGAAGCAGTAACCCCAGATGAGGTCGTGTCGAGGAATCTACTCCGTGGGTGAGATAGAATAGCCCACGAATTTCACACAAGTGCCGCTTTCGTGGAACTTATGGACGAAATACCCAGGGATGCACAGCGTGGATCACTCAGCAGCTAATTCAATTCGAATTCAAATACTGGCGGGAGAGTGGAGCTAAAGAGCAAGCGAGTTCGGACAACTCGTCCGGCCCTCTCTCATCATGGGAAAGAGAGGAAATACTTGTAATGGCTTCATCGGCGGTTTGCTTTGCTGTGGTTCTTTTTCATTTTCAGTCAGTTTGGCATCCACAATTTCATTATCGACCGCCCTTACTCCACCAGTGACCTGGGGTTGTTGCTTTAAAATTACGTAGAAAACGACGTTGGATGCTCCCAGCTTGTATAAACCCGCGCGCTAGTGCTTGACCATATTTGGGTTAATGCTGCCAGCCACAACCCCATAGCTCCATGCATTGTTATCTCGACAGCTAAATCTGGGCCAAATTAATCAAAACAAGGAAGCATGTGCGCAACCGGCGATGGCTCAAATGATGGACATGCGAGATAATTGTCTCGATTAAGCAGTGATTGTCATGGCCCAGTGGAAGCTAGAACCTAGTTTTTTAGCCCAATAAACGGTCTTTGTGTACGGATTTGGACCGTGATAAGATCCAAAAATAAGCCCATCGTGACAACCGAAATCGTACAGCAGCATGTCGTTAAACGCCGCGTTATAGCAGTACAGAATCGGTCTGTACGAGCGCACGCGTTTATTGAAGGCTATTTGATCCGTTTGGATTCCCATGGCTTACGTGATAAATAGTGCATGAATCGGTGCTACCGTGGCTGCAGCTGCTGCTACTGCTGCTGCTGCTCCTGCATATCTATCGTCGCATCAATTGCCCACGACGATATCTTTCCCAGATAGTGACGTCCCTCAATCATCATAGGGAATGGGCTCATTAGGAGCCGGTCAATTCCTCCATTCACAAATCCGCGAACGCTCATTGCGCCATCTCCGAAACAAACTTCTTCACCTCCTCTACTGCTAGCGCCGCCCGACTTCGTACGTTATTGCTACCATTTTGTTCTAAAAAATAATTCGGCTGTGCTGTCGTTCAACCTCAATTTTGTGCCGTGCTCGCTTGAGAAGTCAACTCTGGGAATTAAAAGTCTAGCCATCCATGCTAAAGACCTTGGGTAGCCTAGCGATGCAAACATCGAAGATACTCGTAATTTTCATGCAAGATTTTGCCAGCTATTTTGACTGTTCCGGAATTCATAAGATGGGAGAATATCTGGCGTCTCAAAAACTTACCGTTTCCGCTGTTTTGTATAACAAAATGTAGTAATGACATTCGTTCTTGCCATTTGTAAAAAAACAACGCAGAGCGATGCCAATGAATAGCGGGGGGGGGTAGTTCTGGACTGTCCTACTTTAGCGTCAAGTCCAATAGTTCTTTTGCCAAATACTGTCCTTGTCATAGATGTGCATTCAAGTACTTCGCTCATTTGGCTTCAAGATTGTCATTGGAAATCCTTTAAGTTCAGAGACAGTCGGCGAATGTCGTAGCAGCGGAAGTAAAGAGGTGAGAAATAGAAACTTCCCGTGTAGGGGAAAGTCTACTCGCTCAAACCTGGACGGTGTCAATTTCGATTGGATACGGTATCCATCACAGCAGAGCGACCTGTCATGTCCACGCACCGTAGAGTTCTTTCACTTCATCCGTTGTTGATTCTGCTGATGATGCGTCGGTAAGGAAGATTTTTGAGTTGTAACGACCACACCTTCCCCCTGTACAGTCCCAGTTGCGGTGCATTCAAGAGCCACCTTTCGGCACCTTCACTGAACTGCTTACTATGTAGTATAATTCGGCCTCAAATTAGCTCTTTACCTCTCAATCTCCCGAGAAATTCGACTATCAGGGACATTATAACAATGTGATGCATTCAACTTCTGTGAATCCGAAAATTCTATCTCACCGCTTTTGAAAATATGAAAATAGCTAAGAAAAATTTGTTGAGCTATAACTAGGTTATCTATAAGGAAAGATTGTTGTACTGTTGCTCATTTATCGTTGTTTCCCACGACTGCCTTATGCGTCGTTTCAAATAAATAAATAAATAAATAAAAAATAAACTGTCGATCTACCTACGCAATCTCTTCGAGAACGTAAAATTCAACCCCACACCCCCTCCCTCCCTTCCAAATAAAAGACTCTCAACCCATCATTTTAATTGGCTGACTGATTCCACGATATCAATCACATGAAGGATGGTAAGTCCTGAAAGACTCAATAGAATTTGCTTTCGGAATTCAGCACATCCAATCCTACTCAATAAGAATTTTTAAGCCTTTCGAGCAGTAAAACAACTCGTTTAGCGCCTAAGGCAATGGTCATCTCAAAGAGTTAAAATATGTTGAGTTCAGCGGGTGAAGATCCCGCAAAGCATACCTCTCTTTCTGCACTTCGAACCATTCCTCGTGCTTCTAGCAGAAACTCACAAGGAAATATTACCAGTAGAGCCAATTTTCCTTGGTCCACATGTCATTCAGATGTGGCCTCGGTAACCTCAACAACACCATCGTTAATCTTGATCTTGGGTAGAGTTTCCCAGGCAGCCAAAGGTTTGAAAATGTAAAGCGCTTTCATGCTACAGGAAACCCTACCTTGTTTTTAATCGCGATAAAGCGGAAGTCTCCCAATGTGGACCCAACACGTTTAAAGATTGGGTGGACAGGTTCAAGATGCATCTGCGGGGTCGTGGCAGGGTTTAGGTTCGGTTAACATCGCCTCACATAGATTTGCGCAAGGGACGTGCTGATATCTAAACAATTCAGATTTTATGAAATCTTTTGGAAAAAACTAGGGGGATGTCGAAACTTAGAGGTCGATTAATCTAAAGTTATCAGGTTTCAAACGGGGATATGGAAAGACTGGTCCATAGATTTCCTCAGTGCACTCTTAGGTGAAGAAGCCATCACGCACCTGTGATCCGGTTAACATGTGCAAGTTTGTCTTAAACGTTCAAAATTATCTATACCCTGGAATAATGTTCATAGCTAACTCGTTTTCCCAGTGATTATAAGCTAACAGCGGGCTCGTTTGGCTCAAGCTTGAGCCGGCATACGCTGAAGCTCAATTGAAAAAAGAAAAGCTATCTAGCTGGTTTGCAATTTCGTTGAAAATAGCCTACCGCAGGATGTCAGATGAAGTCGAAGAAGTGACCAATGTCAGTGGACACTATTAAAGAACTCTGAGATCGAATATGATGATGAGACCTCGTGGCGCGTAAAGAAATTTATTGAGTGAATCAGACTAGATGGCTGGCACCTCCATTATATGGGAAGGTTGAGGAAGGCTGAGTGGATTGTTAGGATGAATGCCTTCGGTGTATATCGTTGCGTTAATGGATTGGTTTGTGATAGCATCTCTAAGATGGGTAGGGATAATCACATGATATCCTCCTCTGAGTTCAAATGTAGGGCAAATGATCGGCCGTATGGCTGTCCGCAATTATACACTAGGCGTGTCTCTGATTTTGGCAGCGGTTTCTCGCACATGGGTCATGTCATGAGCCCAGGGCACCTTTCAAAATTTTGGACTAAAATTGTTGCGAACGGATATCTCCGTACTAATACTTTTGTTTGTATAGAGAAAAACTGGAACATCTCCGTTTCCTACGGTCACACAGTCCTATTTGTGGAATTCGAGGCGATTAAATGGTGTTAAGCTGCGACTGCAAACAGGCTTAGATTTCAGCGGGAGTGTTGGTGGGCAGCTTTTCGCCCACTCGCATTCTTTCCTTCAAAAGGAAACGCCCTGACCTTCCCTGAGGCAGGTTCATCTTCTCAAAAACATTACACTCATCCCCGGCTGGTTTGATATAAATCGCTATTCTCACAATAATTCCGTCTTGAACTTGGTTCACCCCATCCTACCGTTCTTTTAAATGGGAATTCTGCTCGAACTATGCCCCCCCCACCCTTATTATAGTATAACAGGGTTTTCTGCAAGGAAACCTCTTTGTTTTAGTATGCCAGAAAGGTTTTGTTTAGAAGTGTTGCTAGAAGTACTAGGTTTTCAGCAATTTTTGTTTGCGAGCGGTGGTGTAGTGTGGAGAACGGCCGCTACTATGCGCGCGATAGGGGATCCGAATCAGTAGCAAGACTTCTAGACAATAGTTTCCATCCTACGAGCTCGACTGTTTAGGTAAGATTTGCCTGGAGGGCTAAATGCTTCTGTTTGTAAGTTGACCATTCACATGGCATCTGTAGCGCGAGATCAGATTCGATGGCAATAACGATTTTTGAATGGAAGTAGAATGTGTGGCGTATCTCAGAATTGCTTGCTTCTTCTGGATTCTGTGCGGAAATGGGTCCATAGCGTCAAAATGGACTCATAATTTTATCTCTGACTAGCCTACGGCGAAACCAAAAAGTCGTACCGATTTTACGGCGTGATCTTGGGACCAATTCCAAGGACCAAATTACATTTGCTGCCAACCATTCGCAGATAAGGTAGGTTAGGATCCACTCAAAATAGCATTCATGAAGATTCCACGCCTGATGCTTAACCACGCCCCATAGGCCGCTGCGAATGTAGGATTGGATTTATGTCGTGTCATTAGAGCCGGGGTCTCGCTATCTGGGGCCTCATTAATAGTATATGTTCTCAAGGGTCGTATCTATCACAGCGATCATCTTCATTTGTTTTTATCACTCATCTCACTTCAGCAGCTAATTATAATTTTGAAATACATATTACATACACTTTACTACGGGTTGTTTCTGGCTGCAGTTTTAGCTCCATATCAAGGTCATGTAAAACCTTAAGTGCTAATCAACGGAACTGTTGATTCAGGGCGATTCGCCGTAGTTTTTGAGATACGCCATGCACTCGCCTTCCTTCCAAAATTACAGCGGCTTTTTAAATGCAAATTTGTACACCCGCAAAAAGGTGCAAGTCGTTCTATGAGCATTTCATTGCCAGCGAGTAGGTGTGTTATTTACCCTGAATAGATGAGTTGACCTGGTGATGTACATTCAATTGATTCCTTAGACAATTGTTTAGGCAAGGTAATTGCTGTACCCAGCTTCGCCTGGAGGAGGGTATCGGTGGAAACCCAACGTGATCTAAGGGCGTAGATCGAAGTTATTACGGTTGCCATATACCCTCCCTACCGCCTGCCCTTGGCGAGCCTGTCAGTAAACTACAGAGTTCACAATTTCTCCGTAAAAGGCATAAGGGGGGGGGAGATGCTAAAGCATTTGAATGGGAAGAATGGCCTGTGTCGCAGATTCTGCCATGACTAGAGGAGGTAATATTTCAGTGCGGTCTTCAAAACAAACCTGAGTTGCAGTAGGATCTACCCTTTGCAAACGCCTAGTAGTTGAAACGATTGTACACGAGAGATGGACAGCTGTGAGCCCATTGGAAGTACTTTTCAATCACTGATGGGAATGACCTTTGGGAACACGTGCCCAACCCTGATCACTTCATCATTCTCTGCAAACAACCAATGGTGTACGTCTAGGAGCACTCATTTTCGTTCTGCTAACATTTCCTGTCTGATCTCTGCTCAAAACCGAAGAACCTGTCGAGAAACTTGGTCCGAAGACCGCTTTCCAATATCAGCTGAATGAGCTCGTCCTTCTCCGCTCGGTACAGCTTCTGCCACTGATCCTTCTCCTTTCCGACGGAAGCTTTAGGCACAGCTGATATTTGCGGATCTTCTACGCTTTAGAACTTCTCACCTTCGACCCTATGAATGCATAGAGCTCCTCCTAGGGATTCTCTAACTATTTTTGAAACACCTTCGGGCATCGCCAACTCACCGCCTGGTTGTTTTACCTTTGAGCTGATTCACATTTTTGACAGGATTTAGTTAAGCAACTCTGCATGACCATTCCTGTTGTCGGATAGCCTCTTGTTTTATGTGAATATGAAGCCTGTACTTTCTCGTTTGCCTGAGAAACACGAGGATGGAACCCTTGGACCATCTCAGCTATAACTTGAACTTCTGAACACGCTTCTATTGTGTCTTTCATGAATACGAATGTCGTGATTGACAGTCAGCAGTTCTCAATTAGACTCACACTCCCCATTCAGAAAATGGAGAAGCCTTATCGTGATTCTTGTGGTTATCGTTGCCGCTATTGCATACTCCATTCGCAAAACCGATATCTCACCCGAGGATCAGCTGGTAAGTGTTCATAACTACTCATAGTCTCTATAAGTCGTTGCCTTAAAGGCACAGGTCGCGATCGAACTGATTTGTTATTTCCTCACAAATTCGATAGGAGCGAGAGGAGCTTTAGCAGGGAAAGATAAGAACCATGGAAAACATTGAAATTTTTCTTGTGAGGTCGACCATGGCACGGCGAAGCGACACAGCGCTGCGAGGAGAGGGACGCGAGATAGCGCGTCGCGCAAACGCCACGTTCCCGTGGCATGCGATGTCTGGATTGCAGCGGTTCAGCAGTCAGGAGAAGGCAGTAGCTCCTCTGTATCGCCGCACTTCGAACAGGGGAATAAACGGTCGGGGAATTCTCGACCCATCGCCTTGCTGTCGAGAGTAGGCTGCCGAGAGCGAACGGATGCGGAGGGCGGCTCGCGTGCGAAGGAATACCGCGCGCGAGAAGTAAAGGATCAGACGGAAAAATATTTCGATGTCCGTTGAGGATCCTCAAGCAAATTCACCCTTGCTTCCGAATCAGGACAGTAATCCATCACTCTATGATCAGAATTTCCGCTACCTCAATCAAAGCGAGAAGTTTTCTAGTGATTTTGATCGTTACCTGTGCCTTTGAATTCATATTTATTTGCCGTAGCGCTGCTCCTCTGAAAAGTCTGCTTTCGACCAGAAGCTTCAAAAGCAGCAAAAATAAAGCACGAAAAAATCAAGGGTTTCCCGCAGGATGTCGTAAAAAAATTTGCGATTTTCCGTTTCGAGAGAACCACCAGGGTTTCATTATTCGCTCTTCTCAGAATGGAGTTTATTCGCCCCTTTAGAGCAGAAGGTAGAAAATCCTTTAGTAAGCTAAGTATGTACGCTTCATCGCTACGGATCTTCCCCATGACTTGTCTGATGTAATTTCGATACTGGGATGTATTTTCCCGTTCTCAATGAAGCACGTAGAGTTGCAAACAGCCGAATCGAGCGGTGATGTTTACACATTGTTTTTTTGTTTGTTTTTCGGTGTTTTTTTTTCGCAGGGATTAGCGAGCGAGCAGGTGATTAACTGCTCCGGGTCATGGTCAGTCCTCGTTAATTGTGTGACCCAAACACAATAAAACCACCTCTATCATAGAGGCTATAGAATCGATTTGTTATAGGTGGATCAATTTACGCGGAACACTAGTAGGGCAAACGTTTAACAGCTCTGAGAAGTGATGTCATGATAGGTGGGACACACGGGGAGGGGTAACCAATAGCTTTCCGGAGAAGGATCTCTCGGAACTACTGAAGTGGCTGAGAATAGCGCCTTTGAGAGTTTGCTGTTGAATTTGATCATTAGGTTAACTATAAGTTATCAGAGCACAAGGTTGCGCTCAGTCTGCCGAAAATCTAACAAAATAGTTGAAATTTTTCTGGAGATTCTCAAATTTATTATTATCTTATCATCTTTAATACTAAAAGTATAGTCATTGATGCCTCAATTGCTCTTTTACAGCTGGTCCGAGTTGCCAGGAAAAGCGAGAAGAGCTCGGAAGAATCCAAAGAAGAAACTGAGGGCCAGAAGAAAGATGAGAAGAAGGACGAGTCCGCAGAGGAGGGTTCAGGAGCTGAGGTAACCTTCAGTAAATTGGATGCCATCGTGATGAGTTTTTGCAAAGCGTTCTTCAGATGAAACGAGTGAAGCGAGATGATTCATCGTCATCAGAGGAGGAAGGCAGCGGCGAGAAGGTAAGTACCCATCGTGCCTGAACCATACCACAAAATAGTTCCTATTTTGATCCTGCTTTGGCAGCACGGCGGGTTGCACACAGAGTCAACCCTGCGTTGCGCAGTTCGCAACGGCACGTTGAGAGATCCTCAACGCACGCTGTATGGGCGGAGACGCAGACGGCTCGAGCATGCGAGTGTGAATGTTCGCGCGAGAGAACGTGTCTAATCGGGCGAAACTGCGCAACGTGGCCGTTGAGAACTGCGCAACGCAGGGTTGACTCTGGTGCTGACCGCTCCCCGCAGCAAGAAAGAAACACCAAATGGTTTGAAACCTGGCTTGCTGGCCACTGATCCAAAAATAGCTCAGGGTTCAAGTGTAAAAGTCGTGCAACTCAACTCTCCGGCTTGCACGGAACTAAAATATTTATCCCGCCGGTTAGGACAATATGCCTTAACGGAGGCGGGGTTGGCATCAAGGGGCGGAGTTGGGAACGTTGCAGGGGCCACACAGTTTCTAAAGAGTTTTTCCTGCGAAATTGCCCATTGTCATTATTTTCTATCAGGGTAATTTCTAGGCAGGACACCCCTCTGTGTTCAGTCCCGTTATAACCAAACGTTTCCAGGAAGTTTTGTCTGGGATACTGTGGGAGAATTTGTTTCACTTGTAGATGTGTTTATATTTCCAGAGGCCCGACTTGAAACCTCCCTAAACATCTAGGTCATGGCAATCTCTCGATCTGACTGATGCAGCTACATTATAACCAACTCGAATAGAAAGCTTTTCTCAACAACCTTGTCGGCCCTGGAAAAATTGTTGCATCGAAAACTGTTCCCTTGGAGAATATCGGTGTTCATAGTCACAAGTATTTTTCTTTTTGCAGGCAGTTCGCGAATCTGGAGCGGAGGGTTCAGGAGAGGTGAGCTGCCAGCAACAGTTTTGACAGCCATACTTACACCTAAGTTTTCGCTTTCAGTTGGTAACTTCTAGGTCCGGTTCGAGTGGTACGAGATGCTTCTGCTAGTAGCGAGGAATCGTCAGGAGATGTAAGTTCTGAAAATAAGTAAACTGGGGAAATAATCCTGGATCGTGTAAACCCAGCTAAACTCATCTGAGAGATGAAATTCTCAAAAATGCTTTGCGGATAGAATCAGGATCCCCACTGTGCATGGGCGAACTCCATTAGGCGCCCATCTTATTATTCATTGCTCAAGGTACTCGGTGTTACTGATTCAGGTAAAATTACCCCACCAAGGGAGAGGCACGGGTTCATCCCGTTAACACTCTTAGCGCAGCCCTTACCTGATCGTGCAATACAGAAACATGGACGGTTCCAAAAAGGCAAAATTCGTAATTCATAACTGAACGCTTTTCATTCCCCTTCATGTATTGTGCATTTGCAGGCTCCTTCTCGAAGTGAACGCGCACTCGAAGGTTCAGGAGAGGTAAGCACTTCTTATATCGCCTTAAATTCAAAAGCGTGACAGTTAGGGTTTATTGTTTTATTTTTTTTTTTTTTTATTTTTTTTTTGTTTTTTTGTTCTTCCAGCACTGACAAATTCCGCGGTGAACTGGATTAGACCCTCTCATGAGCAGGGTAGAGCTTTCCCCGGGACGAGAGGTGCGCCGTTCAAGCGGTTCAAATATGCGTGACAAGGGCGCTAAGAATACATCACCAGGCCCGAGAAATTTTGCTTCTGTTTCACGCAGTGCAGCGAGCTGGTGCGGTGCCTGCGTCTCGCTTTTCCTTATGCACTCTCAATTCTTATCTCACCCCAACACTCACTGCCCCTTTGTCCCCCCCCACCCCTACCCAGAAGCGGAGACTTTTAGTTCTCCTCCTAGGTCTCCTAATCTCCTAGGTCACTTCACCAGAGCTGCGCAATCAGTGAAACTAAGGTTGCGTTTGGGCTCAGATTTGGGTTCGCTATGAGCAAGCGGTGTCCTAGTTTCAGGTGACCTGCCCTGAGGAGGGGAACTAAAACACCCCTCCCTCTACCTCTAAAAAAGGTCTTAAACTTCTCCCTTCCCTCACTGGCGATCTACCTAACATATCCACCTTTGAATTTTATTTTTAAGCACGGTAACCATAGGTAAGCAGGTGGTGGCAATAATCGATCGTGGGCGTGGCCATTTAAGTGGGCGGCGCTAATGCGAGACTTCCTCCCGGGCATCTTTTCTGGTCTTAAAATTTCGTCTGCACCGGTACTACCAACAAGTTGGAAGGTGAACGGACCACAATAACCTTGGATGTTGAATTTGCGCTTCACAATTGATTTTTCAGGACCTGAGCCCTGCTAGAAATGCACGCGAAGTTGAAGGATCTGGAGAGGTTTGTCCGATCTTTTTTTCTGGAAAGCTGACCGATTGAGTCACTGCAGCCTATAATTCCGGTGCAGAAAATCGCGACGGGACCAGGGTTTCTTGCTTTTCAGGACCAAACTCGATTTGTACGTGAAAGCGAAGGATCTGGAGCCGAAGAATAGCGCTGCTCTGAGAGAAGAAGATAACTGCTCCGAATGATTCAGTCATCTTGAATCTATTCTCATTCAATTTCTACGAAAATTGATTGATTGCTTAAATAATTCTCGGCGATCGACCTTGCCTACTAGAGTGCTTTCTGAACATTTGTGGCCAGCATAACATTTTCCTTTCATCTGCATGGTGTCTTCATTTTGGGGGGTTCTTACTGTTTTGTGATGTACATAAGTCGATTAATTCAATTGTGCCATGTTTCTCCTGCAGCCCAATAAAAGTCTTTTTAAGCTGCTTTTCCCGCGATGGAAATACCGTCCATTTCTTCGGAAGAACATTCTATGATATCAGAAATAGGGTTCCCTACAGAATCTTCCTTTTGACTGACGATTTTTTGCATCGGACAAGCATAAAAGGGATTATAGAGGCATATGGAATTGATCAATCCTTTTTTTCGGCCGCGCCACGTATATTATTTCCGTTCGAAATCGTGGTGGCATTTTGATGCGGTTCTCCCCTATGGTAATTACCCGTAATTGCGAGGGTCAGCCAATAAGCAAGTCATTGTATATGTTTTCCCAGAAAAGTCTTGGTAGCAACTACAAACCCTCGCGGGATATAAGGCATGGATGGCCTAGACGGGAACAGTCCAGTATTCCATCCCCGGACCTGCATGTGTTAAGCGGCGCTATTTGCCACTGCACAACTTCAGTCTCTTAGTACATGCGCGCGAATGAGAGGTAAAAGAGCCTTGCGGGCGAAGAGGCGAGAGAGAGGAGAGCAAAGAACCAGAGAAGCAATGCACCCACCTGTTACGACCAAACTAAAAGGTAAGCTGGTACGGGAAAAATAGATTTTGAGAAAGGGGAAACGCTTCTTCTTCGAAAGGAGTTTACTTCCTCAAAGGAGCACTTCTGAGGAGAACAGCGTGTCCGTCACAGACAAGGGTCGTGGTGACCGCGGTCCTGATTGCTCCCCCATCATATGGTTGTTATGCCGTTATTTGTTCTTATTGAAGAAAAGCTTTCCACTTCAAGTGGCTATCACATTTAGCTTATCGCGGAACTGCGCCATTAATGTTCGAACTGCTATTCTGTCAGAGCAATGTCGCGTTATCGAAAGCTGAACATGGGAATCACAACTAGAATCAATGGTCACATAAAACCAAAAAATTGAGTAAAAGTAAAGACGGCAACCGCTTTATCGAGATGTAACAGATTTCTTAACACAAGTGAGTACACTTTGGACAGATATTATATGTAGGACCGTCATAGAGTCCGCTTAATCTTGTGTTCAGTCATATTCCATGTTGGCTTCAGCATCTTTCGCCATTTTCGAACCTTTCTTTCGATATCTGAAGTAAAAGTCTGGACACTTTGGGCCAGAAATATTTTGCGAATGAACAACTGTGCGAACTCGAGTAATGTGCAAATTTAACGCGTTGACGACAAAGTGGTCCAATATCGTCAATGGATTACACTTGCAGGCGGGGGAGGGGGAGGGGGAGCGACGGCGTGCACGATATCGGAGTCACTCGGGGCGCCCTTCCAACGCGGCCAGCGCTGTCGTGGACGGCATGGTATGGATCGTGATGATTCGTATCAGGCGGCTTTGGACCACATGGTTGGCACTAGCGGCTGCAAGGAATAATTCGTGTTCATGGGAAATGGCCAATAGACCTCTCTTGTGAAAGCCCGCTGAGAGTCATCGCATGGGTTAAATGGTTGTTGTTGAAACGTTTATGGTTGAGGTTGTTTTTTTTGAGAAATCTTGAAAGTGAGCTATTTCTTGTGCTTGAATTCCCTGTGACAGGTTTTTGGAGACGGGGTCGAGCAGGAGAAGTGGAGTTGGAAGGATAACGGCCGTTAGAGGCAGGTTGTAATTAGGACGGTAGAAGTAGGACGTGATGGGAGAAACTTTTTTTTGCGGAAATGCTTGACATTGTTCCTTCTCCGTTTATATGCGCCTTATTTGCACTATTTCGCGCCGCAATTCTTGTAGCACCCTGGCGCAGTCAAAACCAGACTTTATGGCACACACCCTTGTCCGAAAGGGACGTGTTTAAAAGCAGATCTGACGAAAAGTCAAATGTAATGTAGGGGGTCCCGACTTCAGGTTTAAATATTGCGAAAAAAATATTCCAATAGCTCACTTTGCAAGCCACTTTTACCCAGCAAATGTGCCGTCGTCACCGTTTGATAATTACCACGATGTGAACCCCACGTTCAGTCTACCAATGTCGTTATAGGTACGGCATCACGGCTGTTTTACTGCAGGAAATGAGGAGATTTCACGGCTTTAACCCTGTTGGGTGTCTCATGTTGAAAGAAAGATCAGCAAGGTGATAAGCTGAATTGATAAAAGATAAATAGATTGATAATGTCTGGAAGTACAGAAACACTGACCTTCTCTCCACGTCCACCGTATCAGCAGTATGCATTGTGGAGCCGAGGCCAGCATTTATTGCTCATCTCCATGGTGCCCACAGTACCATCCTGTCATAGCGAACACTTTATAAGGCGCCGGATGAGCTAGGGCTTGAACTCTTCCTCATCAATGGACTGAAGGAAACTGCCACCCATCGTCCTCGTTGCTTTCAAGCAACCGTGCATGGAAACCTTGGGACTCTAATATCACCTCAGTGGGTACTATTGGCCTCCTGCTTCACTAGGGCATCCAAGCTAATGTCGGAAAAGCGAGAAACCAACGTTCATTTGAGTAACAAGAATTCGAGCAAATTAGTAGATTGCAAGGAATTTGAAATCCCTCACAACTGTCACGGATGTTAGGGTGGGTGAAAACACGTGCAGGCGTGTTTAACGCGTGAACACAGACGAATTCCACGCCAGATCCATCCCCCCCAGAACACGTAAAAGGGGCCGCACCGTTCCGTGAGTCCCTCTCGCTCCGCCGCATCTACCAGCGGCGTCCGGAGAGGAGCATTTCAAGTGTCCTAACGATTTCTCCCTTTTGCTCATAGCTAACAAAGGGTTTTCTTTGACGCATGCGACGGTTAATTAGCGAGAAGGAATGTCGGTTTCTCATGCACCGATGCCTTTGAATATCTGCCTGAAATTGCTCCGAAACAGGCCAATCGGTGCCTTTCAGGCCGTCATGCTACGCTTTCATGCACAACTCACCGTTGTACGGCTATCTCGAGTGCGAGTAACAGTTTCGAGAGCCATGACGTTGTCGCTGTACTTCCATTTGAACAGCGTCAGCTCCTTCCCTCTCACGTGACAACCACTTCTGCTTTCTCTGCGGCGCGTATTCACGTTTGTCCTAAAAAAATCAATGTGCAAGAGAATGGGGGTAGAGCGAGAAAATACTGCGGAGATCGGGCGGAATTCAAAAGGTTCTGTCTCGTGCTTCAACGGGTCCACTTCAGGGAATTCCCGGGATGGGGTCTAAGGACATACCTAGGTAAGGGTTAATCGTGATCGAAAATGATTGAAATTTCACAGTTAGGTTGGTAAATCAGTTTAGTAACAAAGATTGTAAGCATAAAGGTGAAACTCCAGTTCGGGGGGGCCACTCCATTGCTATCTTATCCGTAGTACTAGAGAGCAGTTCTTTGGGCTATCGAACACTACGGATAAGATAATAAGTGAACGACTCATTTCGAGCGTACTTTTGATAAGGACCGGTGGATGTCCTACATTCCACACTACCTGCCCACATCCCATCCACTTTTCTGCACAGGTGATCCACCCTGGAGCTCCTGCACCCTTAGCCCTTTGCGGAGGTGTCCTTTCTCCTGGTCCCTGGACCAGACAGGCGAAAATATGAAATCATCTCAGGGTTTCTTCCACATTACACCGATACTTATCAGAAGTCTACTTTAAATGAGTCGATTACGTGTCGTGAGCCCTCTAATCCTTATCTTGAGTATTGGAGAAAAAATGGAGTGGCCCCCCCGAACTGGAGTTTCACCAAGCATAAGTACAAAACATCCTTAAGTGTTCATTCTATGTAATGCTCAGGGGATTGGTCCACCCATTACTGTTCCTTGCTGTGAAGGAAAAAACCTTAACCCTGAGCTCAACCTCCGGCAATGATTGGCAAATCAATACGAGAGCTATGACCTTCAGGGCTAAACAGGACTTTACTTCAGCTAGATCTTATCTTTTCAAAAATAAAACCTCTGGAGCGAGTAGGAAGAGGATGTCGAGGCGCCACTGATTCGTTGGCGAACGTGTCCAATTCGGCAGAGGTGAGAAACAGCGACGGAGTGTTGGAGCACCTGACGGTCCGGAACCGACTCCGATAAATTTCGTTCCTTTGTAAATCTGAAACTAGCTGAATCTTATAATGATGGGGGGGGGGTTGGTTGATTTGATCCATGTTCACTTGCGCTTCTTATGTTTTTAATCTAGGCCTGCTTGTCTAGTTGTCTTGATAAGCCGCGAGTGTTAGTCAAAGTGTTTGGCGGCGTGGGGCGCTATGTAAAACAGGGGGTAGTAAAGAGAAGGCAATACGATTAGTGGAGGGTAGGATTGTTTTAATGACGTCATGAGACGTCATCGTTGGACTGGACCTCTCAACGTCCTGGGGGTGGTTTGGTACCACCTCCCGAGCTCCCTTCCACCAATGACATCCATTGACGACATCGAATCCGCCTCCGCCCTTCAGCCATCGTGATCACTGCCTTTTAACACATTGACGACAACGCGGGGGATATATATCCCGCGCATTGCAGGCCATGTCGGACCGTGCGGGATATATATCCCCCGCACCCATTACACTCATTTTTTTCGCGCACGCCTGGTTCTTCTAGAAGTTTCTTGTAATTATTGAATGGAGGAGACCTTTGACCTAGCTACAAACATAGTGGTCCATAGAATGGTCACGTATGCTTCAATTTAGAGGAGGATTTCTGAACCATACGAAATCTTCAGCCTAATAAATTTTTCGTTTACTTTTTCTTCCTATGAATGTGAAGGTTTAAATAGTAGTAGAAGTAGATACGGTACCTTAGAGATGACAATATATGTGTTTTGATTAAAATAATCAACTTAAAATAATACTAATGCTAGCGACTACAAAAT